GTTCTAGAAAGCAGAGGGCGTGAGAATAGTCACGTGATCTCGCTGACGCAACAATATATAAAAATCTCATTAGAATAAAGATTTGAAATTTCTTCTACATAGTTAACTAGTTCCAAAATTGCCTTTGCTACACAACAAATATTACAGTAATTTTCATATCAAAACAAAAAAAAATTTGATACACACAAGAAAGAAATAGATGAATGGACATTTCTTAAGTTTTCTTTCCTTTGAACTGTTTTTATATATATGCAGTCCTCTGGTGTGACAGTGGTAAATCTACGGACTTAAAACGCTAAAATATAAAACGGTTGACTAGTTTTTACCTTTAGTGTTCTGCCCATTGTTAATGTTAGTCCCCACAAGCGTTTTATTAGTTTCTACCTTCAGTGTTCTGCCCCTTGTTAATGTTAGTCCCCACAAGCGTTTTAGGTTTTATTGGTTTCTATCTTCAGTGTTCTACCCCTTGTTAATGTTAGTCCCCACAAGCGTTTTATTAGTTTCTACATTCAGTGTTTTGCCCCTGGTAGGTCCCAACAAGCGTTTGACTAGTTTTTACCTTTAGTTTTTTGTCCCCATTAGTTCCAACAAGCGTTTGACTAGTCTCTATCTTTAGTGTTTTGTCCCTGATTAGTCCCAATAAGCGTCTTACAACCTCTGTTGGGTCGTGGTTAAAATCTCTACTGATTTATTTCAGGACTGACACATTTTGGTCATGGTCTTTGTCTAATGTTTCTTCGTCTTTTTTTTTTTGTAATTATAGTCTCTTCGTGTTACTGTTTCACATGAAATAGAATTTATCATTACTTAAATTAGTTTATATAACAATGTTTACCAGTGTTATATCACTTGAACTTCATTGAGACCTTTGATTAACTGGGTTTTTATTTCCATTTGCCATCCCACAACATCTAATCTCATCTATTTTTCTATTCAGCTTTGGTACGAAAATGTCTCTACTTCTATAATTTTGCTTTATTCGTTTGATTAGTTTGTACCTATTTTATTCGAACACAAAGGTAATAACCTTAACACCGCTTAAGTTTGCGTTTAACAAGAGCTACACAAATAAATGCGTCTAATCACAGGTTTATGGAATGCATAGAAAATAATAAAGAACAAATTTGTGAATGGCACTAAAGCAGGATAGTGAAATAGGAGCTGCGATCTGAAACCGAAATCGATTATTTATTTTCCATTCAGTTTTTATTTAAGACAACTGTAGCAAATTTGTTGTTATATATTTATTTTAATATCAACGTTTGTTTAGATTAAATTTATATTTAAAAACATGCATAACTTGTAGTGTTAGATGTGTACTACGAAAATCCCGCCTATTCTCCAAAGTTGTAGAATATTCTTGAGAGTAAGAATCAACAATATATCTATATACGTAAACGTTTAAATATAGCTCAGTATTGTTATGTAATCTGAATTTTATAGAAAACCTTCCCACGCCTATAAATACAACCAATGCGACCCGCCAAAGTGAGTATCTATTATTAGTTCGTTATAATCAGTGTGCTATAAACTTAGGAAGCTATAACTGTGATTGTTATAACGCTTATCAATCGGAAACCTTCAGATATTTGACCAGGAATATTTATAAATTTCGAACATTACAAACCATTTAACTTCAGTGGATTCACATCGGACATTAATACTTTTACGAAAACATTACCTAACTTCAACGGTGGAAAACTCAGCGTGTGTGGCAAAGGACGAAGCTAGCTAGATTCCCGTTATAGGAAATATATCTCCATCAACTCTTTATCAACTCGCTCATCGTGAACCTTCGATATAATATCAAGAAAGTTCCAGACGAGAAAGAAAACTTTATATTGTTTGTAAGTTTGTAAAACTTTTGTTTATAAATCATTGTTTGTAATAATTATTTGTAATAATTGTTAATGTAAATTGTACTGTTGTGTGTATATTAAAACGCGTTTGTGTTAAGAAAGAAAACTGTGTATCAATCTTGTTGACAAATATTACAAACTAACTATATATCGGCATTTATTTAAATAATAAATCCAAAGTACAATTTAAATACTAAATTTAAAGTAACATTTAACTCAATTTCAGACCATTGAAAATTCTAATACGTAACAACAACCTACCAAAGTGTTTCATGTAGGTTGAACAATAAAACAAGTATAAAATCGGGACGGTTGATTTATTATTATATTTTTAATCTGATAGCGCGTATTTTAAAATACAGTCAAACGCCGAATTCATAGAAACAGCCTGAAATAAATAAGTACAATCATCTACCTCTTTGCAAGGATATCTTGCCTGGTTCCTAAAACTGTTTTTAAGGTTCTAAGAACACAGTAATCCGTTTGGTACGTATTTCATGATAAAAAAGTTGTTGCTTGAACGATTTCAAAGTAACTGAATTAAATCCAGAATCCATTCAGGAATTTCCATCAATCACGAAAAAGGTAACATTTCTAAAACTGTCTACAATCTCCCTTCCGAAATGGGTCGTACTAAAATACTTTTAAAATCATATTCTTTACCAGCACGATTGACTATTTGGTGATATTATATTCTTGTCAATGTGCTGAAGACAAGATTTCATATCTGTTAAAATTATTAAACGTTACATTGCTTTCTAACGCGACCTTTAGACATAAGGAAGTAAACAAAACAGAAGTATTTTTGTTGCATATACAAACAATAAGTATATATATAAATTACGAAATATAGAAGTTTTTATATGTGCCAATGCACAGTTTCATTTACAAACAGCATGTGAATATGTGGCACTTCGACAAAACGACTTGACAAAGTAAAGAATGAAATTTTGATTTTACAAAGAGTCATAAACGTATAGGGAGTGTGTCATTGAAAATCATTAATTTCTTACACTCCCCGGAAATGGATCTATAATTATTCTCTACCAGTTACCCATCATTATAAATGGCAAAAATAATTTTAACTTAATTATTTAGAGAAATATCAGAAAAATTACTCTAGTAAAATGGCTGAAGTTTGATACAGCCAACCACATTATTGATTGCATTGTTGTTCATCGTTAAAAATTACTCTAGTAAAATGGCTGAAGTTTGATACAGCCAACCACATTATTGATTGCATTGTTGTCATGGTTAAAAGCTTATACGATTACTTAAGTCTGATTTTAAATTAGTAACTTTTTATAATTAAATACCAATTACTAACTTGTTTCAGCTACTAATCTGCTTCCTTCTTCAGAGGGTTATAGAGGGTGGGATTCAATCCTGGGTCTTCTTAATAGAAGTCTGGTGTATTATCCACTAGACTGCATGTATTTATTCAACCCAAGCTGGACATGTAATTCAAAATATGAAAATTTATTGTAGCAGCAAGGGACTAGTTATTAAGACAATAAACATTTTCAACAATAGTAAAATTTTGATTGAACTGTTAGAAAGTAAGAAGAAAGCACACTTGAAACGTTTGTTGATGAACATTTTAATGTAATGAAACATAATTAATAAAATAAAACAAAATGAAAGTCAAAAAGTACATATAATTTAGGGATGCATCATACAAAATAAATATTCTATGGTGATATTTTATTAAAAATTACATGTACATAATAATATATTCTACTAACTATACAACTGAAAGGAGTACAACGCTAAAGTAATTACACAACAACTTATTAAAAACAGGAACCAGCCCTAAAAAGACTCCACGTGTTTCGGTGTTCTTACGCCACCATCTTCAGGTCCCTGTTTTTAAAAAAAATATTTGTTGTGTAACTATTTTAGTGTTGTTCTCCTTTTAATTGTATATATACATTGCACAAGTGACGTTTTAAATTATTTATATTCTACTTCTATATTTCATGTTCTTCAGTATTAATATATGCTTTATGGATTAGGTGACTCCTCGATATGAAAAAGCAAAAATCGTGAAAAGTGATTCAAACAGGAAAACGTGAGTGATAGACAAAACTAAGAAGCCTTCCATGTTATTGAACCAATAGTACTTACAATATTTCTTTGATACCATGAAAATTGGTAATAATTTCGTAAGATATTAATTTTATGGATAATTTCTACGTTTTATGTATCATAAAACTTGTTTAGGTTCTCCTCGTCTTTAATCTCCATTACCTCGCTCCGTCATGCTTTTTAATCAGTATCTCTTGAAACTAATAAAAAAAGGAAAGGTTCCAAATTACACATTACTTCACAAGAATTGTAGTAAGATAAAATTCTCACTTTTTTCAGGACGAATGAGCGTTAAGAGACAATTTGATTCGTTGACTGTATGTCGTCTGTATTATAATCTTCAAAAAGTCAGCAGCGAGTTGCAGCAGTTAAAATAATGCAAGAAATAATTTTAAAGAATAGAGCTAACTTATGAATGTTTATTTTAAGCTGAGAGGCGATCGTTCAATACCATTCTAGTCTTCTGAGAATTAACATTCTGTTTATAAAATCTTTATCCCTGTTACAATGAGTGGAATACAATCCAACTTTTTATCATGAAAATAAAATATGTAAAGAAGTAATAATGCAATCTTTGATTTCGAATTTTTTAATTGCTATTCGCTTATTATTCAGTATCTATATAAAATAAAATATTATACTTTCTTTTTGCCCCCCAGCGGCACGTCTGCGGACTTACAACGCTAGAAACCCGGTTTAGTACCCGTGGTGGGCAGAGCATAGATAGCCCATCGTGTAGCTTTGCGCTTAACTACAAACAATCTTTCTTTTTTATTCCAAAAACCAATGGCTGAAGTTAAAATGTAAATAAAATTGGTCCAGCATTTGATGCTACAGCAACTTACCACTTAGATCCAAACTTAATGTATGATTTTGTGAAGCACAAAGCTACATAATAGGCTATGTTCTGCCCATCGCGGGCATCAAAACCAGATTTTTAGCTTTATAAACTCTTAATGAAATGTATCATTTCAGTATATCTTCCTTTTGAAGATTTGTCTGAAGGTTACTCTAAGTTGCTACCGTTTTTAGGTTAAGGTGTGGACCCCTCCTGCTTTATATCTCAATAAGACGGTCCGACAAGTATATCAACTATAAGCCAAAAATGTTTTATTTGACTCAATGTATATTATCCATGAAAAATAATACAGAACTTTTTATTCAAAGTTCTTCTTTGTTTTTCATTTCTCATAATAACAAAATGACTTAAAGCTAAATATCTTCAAACATAGAAAAATCATAGATTGAAAAAAGTAATTACTTTAAACATTTAAAGTTCTGCTCTACTGAACATTGTTTATTATCACTATTTAAACTTACATCTTAAAGACAGAGTGTATGCTAAAGATTTACATTCGCATATGTATACTAAAATATTTATATATAAGATCATATTTCAATAAAATGTTTTTGCAGGTTAGCAGTCATTCAGTCTTTTACTAGTTGTGACCGACTTTCATTCATCACACTGTAACACAATATGTTAAAACAAAGCCAGAATTCTTTAGTCTATTAAAGAGTAGATACATAATACAAAAGGGAAACAGAAAAATATAACATAAAATCACTAAAAAAAGAAACAGAAAAAACAGGTTGCAACTCACTAGCATTAGACAGTCTCTCTAGCAGACATTTCTATACACTAACTACATAACATTCGTTTTTTTTTAGTATACAGTAAAACTAAAGGTGTTATTCACAAAAACCTGTAATATAAAAACGAGAATTTCAGATACTTAAAGGTATTTTTCCTAATATACTATTTAAAACTTGGTTCTGTCTGGGGTGTTTTAAGATCACTGTTTTATATACTATCTAAAACTTGGTTCTGTCTGGGGTGTTTTAAGATCACTGTTTTATATACTATCTAAAACTTGGTTCTGTCTGGGGTGTTTTAAGATCACTGTTTTATATACTATCTAAAACTTGGTTCTGTCTGGGGTGTTTTAAGATCACTGTTTTATATACTATCTAAAACTTGGTTCTGTCTGGGGTGTTTTAAGATCACTGTTTTATATACTATCTAAAACGTGGTTCTGTCTGGGGTGTTTTAAGATCATTGTTTTATATACTATCTAAAACTTGGTTCTGTCTGGGGTGTTTTAAGATCATTGTTTTGAAATATGTTACAATATATTTCTACTTATTTGTGCAATTAGTTCCTAATACTATCCTATTATGAACTTTTGAAAATAATTGTAAAATTATTTTCTATTTGTCTGTGCAAGTAGTTTTCTGTTTTCTGGCCGACAGGTATTAATTACCTTTGTTGTATCTCTATCAGTAACATATGTAAATACTTATATTCCTGTCTATAACATTTGTTTGTGGCAGTGTGTATGTTTGTAACTGAAAAAAAAGAGGGAAAAAGAGTGACTGCTGATAGAAAATACTGAAAAATCTCGTAACTTAAAAAAATATATAGCTTATAATCTTTCGGATTGTTTATTTTTTAAAATACGTAAAATTGTTTGAAACTAAAAACAGGAGGTACTATGAAACATTGGGTCATTTTCTACAAGTTATGTGTAATATAACACATCGTCCGATTTGACTTAAAATATCTATATATTACTGTTATATTATGTTTTTAAGACACTTGTTAAGTCGGTCTTAGCCAAGACATTCCTAATACAATGAAGGAAATATTTTATAAAAAATTTAAGTTATCTTAAGCATTGAATTGGGAAGGAAACTTAACAGGTTTTCATGAAACTGGGCACAGAAAAATTAAATTTTTCCAATAATATGTAACAAAGGGCTTATGATTAGTAGCCAACTTGAAATACGCCTGTAGAAACCCGAGTTTATTAAATGAATACAGTTGAAGTAAGTAGGTTAACATGATTGAATAACTTTATAAAAAATCTGGTAATTCGCTGGAGAAGAAAAATAAAAATATCTCAACCATTTAATGTTTCAGATTGTATTCTATAACAAAACTTCGAACTTTGCAGATCTCAAAATTGATACAAAATATCCAATGTAAGTAGAATCGTTTAAAGACACTTTGACTGTAAACCACAACATAAAGTACATTCTTTAATATGTTCCTTCTGCTCAAGTGTTATATGTAAAATGCTTCTACTGTTTTAGAACTTCGTGTCGGAAATATCCAATAGCCTTTCTGCTCGTTTGAGTAGATGAACTCTACGCAGGCTAACCACGTAATTTATAAAATGGGTCTTCGTAATATCAAGTTCGGGAAGATAAACATTTTTCGTCTAGTATTGATTTGTTTCCTGTAATTATTATTTTACTTTCTTGTGAAATTATACACCTACTGACCAACAACATAAGATTAGTAAATAACTAAAGATCGAACAATAATAAGCAGAGCAATTCTCAGACACTTCATCTGTTCAAGCTTAATATGCCACGTCTAAATGAAACAAAACGAAAACTGTCCTTTCATTATGTGTGACATATCCCGTGTACAGTACAATGAATATTTTTTTGTAGATTTATAAGACACTAGGAATATTAATCGTTTAGGTATTTTAAATCCATGTTATTATGCACAATATACTCATGTGATAAGATATAGGTACACCAATATGGGAAATAAAACAAACACTGGACAGTTTCAAAAAAAGAAAAGAATCCATGGCTTCACGTCAGTGTTATAACATCGTTTGTGCATTTAAATCTGATAAATGGACTCTTAGTAATTTATTTCGGCCACAAACCACTTCTAAAACACTGTGTTTGTAACTACCTCTCTTATACAGCATTGCTTCACTACTTGAACTGTGTTTGTTTTTTGTTACATAGTGCTATTGAAATACTATATTTCTTATTTACTTTTTTCACTCATTCATAAACAACAGCCTCAACTTCAAATTAGTTATTCAAATAAATTCCTATTACGAAAAGAAAGGAAACTAAACATCATTGTTGAAGCCCCATATAGCCGAATTCTAGAATATTAAGTGTACTATCCTAGAATTCTCAACTACATTAATACAGTCTATCGTCGAAGACAAAAACAAAGACATCTTATAAAACCGAGTACACATATATATGTGTGTGTATATACACATTTGTAAAACCTATCACAATGATAACTTAATTATAGAGTTGATAAATAAATGAACAAAATAAAAAGTAATTGTAGACTGTTGTTTCACGGTGTACTTTTAAACGATAAAAATGATTGAGTTGGTTTTACTGTACAATACAGCGGTGTGATCGAGTTGATTTTATTGTACAATACAGCGGAGTTATCGAGTTGATTTTACTGTACAATACAGCCCTGTGATCGAGTTGGTTTTACTGTACAATACAGCGGAGTGATCGAATTGGTTTTACTGTGCAATACAGCGGTGTGATCGAGTCGGTTTTACTGTACAATACAGCTGAGTGATCGAGTCGGTTTTACTGGTACAATACAGCGGAGTGATCGAGTTGGTTTTACTGTACAATACAGCGGAGTGATCGAGTTTGTTTTACTGTACAATACAGCGGAGTGATCGAGTTGGTTTTATTGTGCAATACAGCGGTGTGATCGAGTCGGTTTTATTGTGCAATACAGCGGAGTGATCGAGTTTGTTTTACTGTACAATAGAGCGGAGTGATCGAGTCGGTTTTACTGTACAATACAGCGGTGTGATCGAGTTGGTTTTACTGTACAATACAGTGCTGTGATCGAGTCTTTTTTACTGTGCAATACAGCGGTGTGATCGAGTCGGTTTTACTGTACAATACAGCGGTGTGATCGAGTCGGTTTTACTGTACAATACAGCGGTGTGATCGAGTTGGTTTTACTGTACAATACAGCGGTATGATCGAGTCGGTTTTACTGTACAATACAGCGCTGTGATTGAGTCGGTTTTACTGTACAATACAGCGCTGTGAACGAGTTGGTTTTACTGTACAATACAGCGGAGTGATCGAGTTTGTTTTACTGTACAAATACAGCGGTGTGATCGAGTCGGTTTTACTGTACAATACAGCGGTGTGATCGTGTCGGTTTTACTGTACAAATACAGCGGTATGATCGAGTCGGTTTTACTGTACAAATACAGCGGTGTGATCGAGTCGGTTTTACTGTACAATACAGCGGTGTGATGGAGTCGGTTTTACTGTACAATACAGCGGAGTGATCGAGTTTGTTTTACTGTACAATACAGCGGAGTGATCGAGTTGGTTTTACTGTGCAATACAGCGGTGTGATCGAGTCGGTTTTACTGTGCAATACAGTAGTGTGATCGAGTCGGTTTTACTGTACAATACAGCGGTGTGATCGATTCGGTTTTACTGTACAATACAGTGGTGTGATCGAGTTGGTTTTACTGTACAATACAGCGCTGTGATCGAGTCGGTCTTACTGTACAATACAGCGCTGTGATGGAGTCGGTTTTACTGTACAATACAGCGCTTTGAACGAGTTGGTTTTACTGTACAATACAGCGGTATGATCGAGTCGGTTTTACTGTACAATACAGCGGAGTGATCGAGTTGGTTTTACAGTGCAATACAGCGGTGTGATCGAGTCGGTTTTACTGTACAATACAGCGGAGTGATCGAGTTGGTTTTACAGTGCAATACAGCGGTGTGATCGAGTCGGTTTTACTGTACAATACAGCG